AGACACAGGCCTTATAAACTAAAGAGATGTAGAGAAAACGTTACATGAGAGCGAACTTTCAAAAATGAAAGGAAATAAAGAAAAAAAAAAAAAAAGAAAAGGTAACCTTACTCTTTATTATTATATTATTATATTTATATTTATTGTATTGTACCTTCTAACCCAGTTTTTTTTTCTTTTCTTTTCTTTTTTTACTCTGTACTTTTATTACCATTATTTCCCATTGGGATCCGCTGAGAGTAGAATAGAAAAATGGAATAAAAAAAAAATGAAGAAATATGAAAAAAAAAGAAAAGGACTTGAATGGTGTCAATGGTGTGTGGAGGTTGTATAGTTCCCATTCATTTATTTATTTATTTCTTTTCTTTTCTTTTCTTTTGTGTGTATATTTCTTATTTAATTTGATTGTAAACTTATTGTGATTGCCTATTTCCTCTTTTTTCTTCTGTGGTCTCCTATTCTTCTCTTCTTTTCTCTTCTTTTTTTTTCTTCTTTTCTTTTCTCTTATTTTTCTCACTATATTGGGATCTCCTATTAGGTGTGGTGTAAAGAAAAGTATCCACTAAAAAAAAAGAAAAAAAAAAGGGAACGGTGGGGGGTTTGAAGGCGTTCAGAGAGGCGAGTTTTTTTTTTGTTTGGCGAGAGAAGGAAGAGGAGAGAAACGAAAAAGGAATTTTGTTGTTTTTTTTTTTTTTTGATTTATTTCAAATAAAAAAAGAAAGAAAGAAAGAAGAACGAACGTACGTGAAGCAAAGAAGTAAAAAAAAAAAAGAGAGAAACATACAAACAAGAAAAGTTTTTTTTTTGCTCTTTACTTGTATATAAGTATATTACATTATATTATTATTATTATTATTGTATACTGTACATAAGTTATCCGTACACTTCGGCACATATATATATATATACACATCTACACAAGAGTATAGTCTATAAATATATATATATATATATATATATATATATATTTATATAAAGATATATACTCTTGTATTTTGGGAGAAAAGAGAGGTAGTAGTCGTAGTGTTGCTGTTGCTGCCAAACGAAAAAGAATAAAAGGAAAGAAAAAAAGAATAAAAGGAAAGAAAGGCGAAGAAAGTCAATTTTTCATAAAAAACAAAGAATATATATATATATATTTCTCAGCGTTTAAAAAAAGAAGGAAAGAAGGGAGGGAGTGAAAGAAACCAAATAAAAAAGAAAAATAAAGAAAAAAAAAAGGAGTAAAGAAGGAAAGGAAAAAAAAAAAAGAAAACATCGCCTTCATTATCAAATAGCAGAGAAAAGAAGAGAGAAAAAAAAAAAGAAACCACAACAGTCTAACGAGGAAGTGCACAAAAGCAAAAATTAAATAAAAAAAAAACAAAAAAAAAGTGTAGTTCTGAGTACATTTAAAAAAAGAAAAGAAAAAAAAAAATAAAGAAAACAACGAAAAGAAGAAATTAATAATAAAAAAAAAAGAAAAAAAGGAAATAAAAAAGGGGGAATATCTATCTATCTGTATCTTTCCACATATATATATATATATATATATATATATATATATACATTATATAAATATACATATATATATACATTATATAAATATACATATATATATACATTATATAAATATACATTTATATATATACATATATATACATTATATAAATATATATATTTATTGACATTTTCCTCTTCTTTACTTTGATGTTATCTTGTGAGAGTTCCTTGTTTGTGCGGCCGGGCCCGGGCAGATCCCACACGAGCACCACAAGTCCTGCCGGGATGAACACCGCCGCCTCTTTTCCCGCCGCCTCCACCGTCACGGGCCCTTCACTTTCCCGTAGTGAGATGTGCATCCCAACAGGCAGTCATCCTAATAATAATAATAATAATAATAATAATA